TTATTACTACAAGGAGTATTTACTTTTTCTTATATCAAATATTCGGTTCCTTGACGAATTGGTTACTGAGCAAGTTACTTTAGGATCGAAATGAATATCTACAAATGGTCTAAAATAGATTCGTTAAACAAGTGTATGAGAGTAGGTTTAAAAAAAAAAAAAAAATCTTTCTTTTCTTTTTTTGTGATTTATTTATTTTACTTTTGTCGTGGAATCAACTGGATATAGCCTTCACTTTTTTCAGTTTTAAGACATTGATACAAAATATGTCATTAGCATTATGGACATACATACTATACATCTTTTTAAGCATAGTGAAAAATGATAGCATAGATAAGACGTGTACAATATAATTTAAAAAAAAAATAAAGAAAAAAAATAAAGATACAATACACTTAAAATTCAGACAATACCGAACTTCTAAGAGAGTAGATAACAATTTTAACGTGAAAACAACAGCCTCTTATGTTCTTATTTCGCCTCAATTGTTATCTTAGAGAACTCATGCGATAGGTATGATTTGCTGATAATGTGTGTGTGCAACTGTGCGTCAGCGAGTTCAGTGTCATGTACGCAGTGGAGATGAGTTTGTGTGTATCTTTTCTTAGATATTAGAGTATTTTATGTTTTGTTGTAGTTACACACACACACACACACACACACACACACACACACACACACACACACACACACACACACACACACACAATAGAAACAACACACTAACACACGCAATAGACACACACACACACACGTATATATAATATATATATATATATATATATATATATATATATATATATATATATATATATATATATATATATATATATATATAATAATAAATAATAATATGATAATAAATATACATATATGTATACATATGTACATTTATGTTTGTATGTATATTTGCATATGTTTTCGCTTACCCCTGTTATTTTTAATTCAGATTAAGTTTTTTTTTTTTATTATTAATCCTTACTCGAACGCAATAGTATCACACACACACGCACGGACTATCATAAGATAACGCACACACGCTCACACCCTCAAGACCCTCAAAAAAGTATCATACGAAAAATAATATGCGATGTACACTTCGGAAATACAGAAAAGAAATAGAATAGAGATAGAATAAACATAAAATGATAATAATGTTTGACGTCAAAGAAGCGGTTTTCTGTACCCTGTGAACTCGGGTGTTGGAGTGTTGCTGACGACAGTTCCTCGATTTTTTTTTTTTTTTTCATTTCTTTTTTTATTCATTCGTTTTTTTATGGAATTTATCTGCATTTACTTGTCTTTTTTATTTTATTTTATTTGTTTACTTTGTTTTTTGTTTTATTTATTTTCTTTTTTGTTTTGTGGAATTTCTCTGTTTTTCCTTTTTCGTCTTCTCCATCTTCGTCTCTTTCTCTTACCTCTTCATTTCCACCCCCTAAACTTCCTCCTTTTCCTGCTCCTCTTCCTCATCCACCTCCTCCTCCTCCTCTTCCTCCTCCTCTTTTTCTTCTTCTTTCCTCTCTCCTCCTTCTCCCCCCCACGCCCTCCACTTACTCCCCCTTTCTCCATGTCTCTTCCTCCTCCTCTTCTTCTTCCTCCTGCTCCTCCTCTTCCTCCTCCTCCTCTTCTTCCTCCTCCTCCTCCTCTTCTTCCGCCTGCTTCCCCCCTCTATCCTCCTCCTCCTCTTTCTTCCTCCTGCTCGCTCTCTTCTTCTCCTCCTCGTCCTCTCTCCTCCTCTTCTCTTCTTCCTCCTGCTTCCTCCTCCTCCTCCTCCTCCTTCTTCCTCCTCCTCCTCCTCTTCTCCGCCTGCTTCCCCTCTTCTCCTCTCCTCTTCTTCCTCCTGCTCGCTCCTCTTCTTCCTCCTCCTCGTCCTTCCTCCTCCTCCTCTTCTTTCCTCCCTGCTCCTCCTCCTCCTCCTCCTTCTTCTTCCTCCTGCTCTCCCTCCTCCTCCTCTCTTCTTCTTCCTCCTGCTCCTCCTCTCCCCTCTCTTCTTCCTCCTGCTCCCTCCTCCTCCTCTTCTTCTTCTTCCTCCTGCCTCTCCTCCTCCTTCTCCTCCTCCCCCTCTTTCTTCCTCCTGCTCCTCCTCCTCCTTCCTCCTCCTTCCTCTCCTTCCTCCTGCTCTCCCTCCTGCTCCTCTCCCCCTCCTCTTCTTCCTCCTGCTCCTCTTCCTCCTGCTCCTCCTCCTCCCCCTCCTCTTCTTCCTCCTGCTCCTCCTCTCTCCCTCCTCTTCTTCTTCCTGCTCCTCCTCTCCTCCTCCTCCCCTCCTCTTCTCCTCCTCTCCTCCTGCTCCTCTCCTCCCCCTCCTTCCTCCTGCTCCTCCTCCTCCCCTCTCTCCTCTCCTCCTCCCTCCTCCTCCTCCCTCCTCTCTTCTCTCCTCCTCCTCCTCCTCCTGTCCTCCTCCTCCCCTCCTCTTCTTCCTCCTGCTCTCCTCCTCCTGTCCTCCTCTCCTCTCCTTTCTCCCTCTCCTCCTCCTGCTCTCTCCTTCCTCCTCTCTCCT